GCTCCCCCCCCCCCCCCCCCCCCCCCCCACACACACACACCTTGGCCAGGGGCCCAGTGAGAATGTCAGCCCCTCTGGTTCTATTGCACAATATTTAGTCTCGATGATGGGTAAGTCATAAAAAGCCTAGTGTTAATTTCACATCTGATCCTAGACTGATTTGCAGGCCTGGCCATTAGAAAAGACACAGATATACTTGTCAACAGATTTGCTTGATAATTTGCTATAGAGTCAATGTGAGACAATAACTGCAACATGCTACATTGCCCTGGGGAGTAGCTTTACAGAAAAGATCTTAAAGAGCAGGCAGGACCCTCACATCTGTATGTCTAACCCAAACAACCTCAGACAGTACAATGTGTTATTCGGTTTTATCTTTCTGAGAAGAATAAAAGATTGAATTGACCTTCAAAGATTTTAACCTGTAAACCTGACACTTAGAACAGTGAGTTAACCCCTTGAAAGGAACATGGAAGCCTATCCAATGGTTTGTGCCTCAATATTGTACGTTTTTCTGTTTTCAGTCTTCTTGATTAACTTGTTCTAGCCAACCAGCACTAATTACACTATCTATCTCAGGTACTTATAAGGTCTCCATGACCTTCACAATACCCCTATTATTTCCATTTTACAGATAGGGAACTAAAGCACAGTAAAGTTTAGTGTCTGATGTAAGGCCACAGAGGAAGTTTGCAGTAGAATAAGGATTTGACCTGTTGTTTCCTAAGTGGTAGTGCCCTAACCATGGGACCATCCTTCATCTCTAGCATCGGGAGGTGCCATTTATTAGAAAATGAATAAGGATCTATAAAGAAAAAGAAAAGATCTATGCAGGGGCCCTAGAAGTCTAAAGAGAAGTGGAGAGGGAGTGTTTATTAGTGAAGTGTTAGTAATGCAAGGGATGTGATCAGAGGAGAGAGGCTCTGTAAAAGGTAAGCTAGAGCCAGGCCTTTCAGAAAGAAATGTTAAAATATATGGGGCACATGAGAGGTGAACCATTAGACACATACTTAATGCTAGCATGTATTATTGAGATTTAAGTACTTAAAACCAATAGCATACACAGCGCTAAACAAACATAAAGACATTCCCTTTCCTGAGGGTTTTATAGTCAATACTAGCGAGATACAAAATGTAACAGGTGATCAGAAGATTAATTAAATACAATACAGTAGAATTTATGGTTTTCCCTTCCCCTCTACCATTGGTTGATCTCATGACTTTGTCCTGGGTCCTTTTGAATCACTGGGGCAGTTTACCTTTTGCCCCCCTCATCTGCAAGCTTGAGTGGATCCTTATAATTCTATAGATGATGCAAGAGCCAGAATATAAGTCAACTCACACTTTCTTGGCTATGCAATTTCTTCCATGTCAGCAGCAATAAAAAGAAGCAAAAATTTATTTAAATCACTAACTCACCAAGTACGAGTAACAACCCCGAGTGCAGGTCTGTTGACTAAGATGATACTATGTATACACAGTCACTTTTCAGAGTAAAACATCACTTTAAAGACACCAACACTCTTTTTGTAATATATAAAAAGGAGAGAAATATATGCCTAATGGTTCATAACTATAGGTAAGGAGAAGCATTTGTAGTTATATAAAAAAGAAATGTGTTAATTTTTCATCAGAATGTTCCTTGTACTTTCCTATGAAGTATCTATAATGGCCATTGTCCTGGACAGGGTACCAGATTAGGTAAACCACTGGTTTGAACCAATATAGTACAGGCAGTCCCCGGGTTACGTGCAAGATAGGGACTATAGGTTTGTTCTTAAGTTTAATTTGTATGTAAGTCGGAACTGGCTCCAGATTCAGCCGCTGCTGCTGAAACTGACCAGGGGCTGACTACAGGAAGCGGGAGGCAGAATGGCTCTGCCCCCAGCTTCCTAGAATCAGCCACTGATCAGTTTCAACAGCGGCTGAATCTCGAGCCTGGGACAGAACAGCTGGGCCGCCAGGTAGGTCCCTGCAGGGAGGGTCTTTCATATGGTTTCAATAGTTAGTCACTATCTTTCACTGGAATGCTAAAATAGGAATTACAGGCAGTCCCCGAGTTACGCGGATCCGACTTAAGTCGTATCCACACTTACGAACGGGGCTTTCTCACCCCGGAGCTCGCAGGCAGCGGAACCGCCCAGAGCGCAGTGGTCCCGCCACCTCGATCTCCAGGGCGAGAAAAGCTGCTCCGGGTGCCTCTGGTCTGCTGGGGACCGTCTCCAGCAGACCAGGGACACCGGGAGCAAAGCTGCAGCGGCAGCGGAGTCCCGCGCCTCTGAGCCTTTGCCACAGCAAAGCCTCAGAGGTGCGGGACCCCTCCGCCTTCCCGGCTTTGCTCCAGGTGTCCCTGGTCTGCTGGAGACGGTCCCCAGCAGACCAGAGGCACCCGGAGCAGCTTTTCTCGCCCTGGAGATCGAGGTGGCGGGACCACTGCGCTCTGGGCGGTTCCGCTGCCTGCGAGCTCCGGGGTGAGAAAGCCCCGTTCGTAAGTGTGGATACGACTTAAGTCGGATCCGCGTAACTCGGGGACTGCCTGTAATTCCTATTTTAGCATTCCAGTGAAAGATAGTGACTAACTATTGAAACCATATGAAAGACCCTATTCTTGACTTAATAAGCCTTATAGACCCCTCCACCCCACAAAAGGACTCTGACTCCAAAAGGACTCTGACTCCAGACTGCTGTGATTCAGTAGGCCTGAGACATTCCCCTAGCTAAACTAATCTGACACGGAGAAGTGAAGGAAGTAAGACGTGACCAAAACAAGATAAGACCAAGATATAAAGGACAAAGGGCCCACAGGATATTGTTGGCAAGCAAACATGATAGTTCTAATATTATAGCAACTGCCATCTACAAAAAAAACCTGCCAAACTGATCAAAGAGACTAAGTATAAAATAACTGATCAAATAGCACGTCTCACCTTGAGAAAGGTTCAGCTAAAATGTATAAGCTACTCAGACTCCTGAAGAGTTTAATAGAGACTCATCAATTTACAATTGTAAGTAATTGTTAGAGCTGACTACATAACATATACCTTGAAATGTGCACATTTTATTCTCTTTAATCACATGTATGGTATTCTGAGTTAGCTTGTTTACACACATGCACACCCAGTTGTTTATATCATACTTTACAATTACCTTTGCAGAGCTGATTCATTGTTTCCATTGGTGAGGAAATTGTTGCTTGTAGTGCTTTGCAGACATACACAGTGTGCTGAACTAGTTTGTCTCTGTTGAAATAGTGTGGATGAGTTAGTTCTGGTTTTATTTCATTTAGCTAATTTAGTATCACAGCAGTATATTCTCATGTGGCAGAGTACAGAATTTGTGTCAATCACAGACTATAAGAATAATAGACTTTCATGCAATAGTTAAAAGAAGTTTTTCTTTGTTCCATTTAAATGGAGATGATTAACTTGACCTACTTATTAGTATTTCATACAAAATGGGTCAGATCCTCAGCAGGGCCAGGGCTCCACTCAGTGCAACTCAGAGGGACAGGGGCAAGAGCAGTTTTAGGCTTCCTTTGTACATCTCCCATTCCCAAGGCTGGTGGAGACTGGTTGGCCACTAGTTAACAGCAGCTTCAGAACTGCTCTCTCATAAACTTGCACCAGTTAACCAAAAGTGTCATTTTAAACCAACTGAATTGAGGGGTACAACTGTGTGTTTGAACATTCCTATCCAGAATTGTCCATTACAGGGGTTTCTAATCTATCAAGCTAAAATGATGTAAGGCAGGTTTATACAGATGCAAGTGTATCCACACATGGGGTTTGCATCATTGTAGTAGATATAAACTAAATCAATTCAATTCAGCTTTTGAGTGTAGACAAGCCCTAAATTGTGTGAGCTGTTTAAGGGCCATTATAATGAACAGAAATCACTGGGGTGCAGCATGCTCTGGTCAGAGTCCTGACACACCCTTTACACTAAGGCCACATCTACACTATAAGATCAGGTAGAATCTATTAAGGTTGATTTCTGGTCACCCAATTTTGCAAAGTTGAAGGTCTGTGTCCTCACTGCTGGGTAGAATTCAATGTAGTTTGAAGTAGGGCATCCTCATTAGGGAGACTGCCATCGACTTTGAGAGCGATGAATTGTGAATAGCTATCCTACCGTACCGGTGCCACTTTGCATTCTGGGTTACTCTTCCGGGACCAAAACTGTGCAGCAGGTGGTTATAAGTTCATGTCATCAGCATCCCATAATACTCTCATCTACTCCCTACCCCCTTGCTTGAGATCAACGGGAAACAGTCTTTTTATGCCTTTTTTGGCACTGGTTACCCACACAGATGCCATGGCAACATGAGCATAGATCCTGTTTTGCATCAAACCATTGTGATGTTGATGTCTACCTCGATGCTCCTAATGGTTCGGTATGCTGAGAGTGTACACACGTCACTCTGCCAGAAAAAGAACGAGGATGAATGTGGGGATCCCGTGAATTTGCTATACAAGCAAGCCCTTTCACTGGTGGAAAGGCAGCTGCCAGTCGATTCTCTGGACACAGTGGAATACCAGTTCTAGTGCTGTGAGACAAGAATAGACTGGTGGGACCGCATAGTGCTGCAGGTATGGGATGATCAGCAGTGGCTGCACAACTTCTGAATGTGCAAGGCCACTTTCATGGAACTTTGCGAATGGCTTTCTTCCCCTCCCCCACCCTGAAGAACAGGGATACCTGAATGAGACCCTGAAGGTGGGAGAGGGTCACGAGATCCAGTCATGCTGGCAGGGAGGGTGGTTGCTCATGTGGCTTCCATCCTGTGTGTCATCCTGCAGAAGACTGCAGGCAAGAAGACTGCAGGGAGAGGGTGCCAGAGTCTGAAGCCATGGCATCAGCTAATAGCTTTCCCTCCTCCTCCACCCAAGTTGCCATGAGCGATATCAGTCTTCTCCAAACCACACAGAATGACAGGGAGCTGATGCTGACTGAACCTGGGCCTTATGCTGCAATGCTTTGTGCTGCAATGACACTAGACCACTTATTGCTGGCTTGGTGTGAGAAGGTGTCCTATCATGGAGGATGTTAAAAGGCTGGCCTCCCCAGAAACCTTGTGAGAAGGATCAAAGAGTTCCTATCTGAGAGCTTCATGGAGATATGCAGGGAGGATTCCCGTTCCATCTCCAGACATGTTAACAAGCTGTTTCAGGCCCTCCCCCTTCCATCGCACTGCGTAGACATAGTATGCCACACATCAAACTCAATAGCCTTAACCCGCTTGTAGAAAGAAAAAAAAAAAACCAAAACTGTGAACTCACCAGAAGTGCCCTCCTTGGTGTCAGTGCTCAACTGGGAGACATACTAGGAGGAGGGGATTAGTTCCAAGGTCATGAAAAGTTCTTGGATCCTGCAGATTGCCGGCTGGACATTCTCCCCCTGCCTCCCCACCCGCCACTATGCTGTCCTCCACGTTGCTGCCAGGAGTGTCTTGGCTTAAAAAGCTGGCTTGGGAAGCTGGTTGGGGTCCCCCACTAGAATTGCATGCAGCTGGTCGTACAAACAGCATGTTTGCAGTGATGCACCAGACCATCTGTTTGCCTCCTTTGCCTTGTGGTTGGACTGCATTAACTCCTTTATTTTAACTCAGTACTGCTGGGCATCCTTTGGCCACCAGGCAGTTTGCTATCTTCACATAAATATCAGCATTTCTTTTGCTGTTTCTGAACTCTGAGAGAATGGATTCCTCTCCCCTGAATGAGGTCCCAGTTCTTTTGCATACTCCATCCTGGCACTCTTTTGTGCCCCTGGGAACTGGAGCTCATAGGACTTGAGGTCATGGTCACATGGCTCCTCAGGTATGCTGCCTACCCTGAGCTGTGTTCACAATGCTGGCCACATGGGAAATTACATTCAAACTTTCACAGGACTTTATCTGTTCACCGGGAGAGCAGTAGAGGTGCAAGTTCTGGCCACAGCAGTGAGAGTAGGGTACTATGGGATGCCTTTCTGAGGCCAAGAACCTTGACTTTCTCAACACTCCGTCTACACTACCATAAATTTGACCAGGCAATGTTGAAAATTGTATTACTCCTTGTGAAAAGCAGGAGTACCAAAATGGGCTTCAGCGGCCCTTAAAGTCGATGGAATGGGCTTGGTAGCGTGACACATCATTTAGAAAAATTGACCTTATGAGGCCAAATTCAATCTAAACTCCTAGGCTACGTCTACACTGGCATGATTTTCCGAAAATGCTTTTAACTGAAAAGTTTTCCGTTAAAAGCATTTTTGGAAAAGCACATCTAGATTGGCAGGATGCTTTTCCGCAAAAGCACTTTTTGTGGAAAACCGTCCGTGGCCAATCTAGACGTGGTTTCCCGCCAAAAAGCCCCAATCGCCATTTTTGCGATGGGGGCTTTTTTGCGGAAAACAGTTCTGTGCTGTTTACACTGGCCCTCTTGCTCAAACCATCTGCACAAGAGGGCTTTTGCCTGAACAGAAGCAGCACAATATTTCCGTAAAAACACTGACGATCTTACATGAGATCGTCAGTGTTCTTGCGGAAATTCAAACGGCCAGTGTAGACAGCTGGCAAGTTTTTCCACAAAATCAGATGATTTTGCGGAAAAACTTGCCAGTCTAGACACAGCCCTAGTGTAGACCAAGCCTAGGGTCTAAAAGGTGGTAGCATAGAGCTGACTATGCTGACTCTCATTCTCTTGCTGCAGGATGGCCCTCAGTTGCCCCATTAGGGCAGTTGTATAGACTCTTTTTTTACTCTAAAGTCATGCAAAAAGGTTGGAACAGATATCAGAACCTAACCCAGCTGTGTAACTTCATATCCCATTATTAGTTGAGCCTCTTACCGTTATTTCTTTCCTACATTTTCTTCCAGATGTCAGACTGGATTTTTTTCCCCCATTGACAGCATTATTTTTAAAACCAAAGAACTACTTTATATTAAACTAGTAGGTGTTGTACTGTACAGAATGTTGTATAATGAGGCACAGTACAGATCTTATCCAACCAGTTTATAATAAGAAATAATAGCACCATTGTGCCATTCAGCCTGCTTAGGGGTGCTGCAATAAATTTAGAGCAGACCATTTCCTGCAGTTGGAATGGGATGGGGAAGTTTTGTGCATTTTTATTTCTATAGTTTTCATAACTCTTTTATTCATTCCTCTGAAGAGAAACAGCAACAATATGAGAAACATCCATGTAATACTGAACCCAGGTTTACACATCTATTAAGATATCTAATCACCTCCAAGATGCCACCTTAAATCCAGGAAACTTTTCTGGTCAGCAGCCTGCTGTGGTGGAGTCTTGGAAAAACAGAGGGTCAGGAATCAGGACCTGATTGTGGATCCAACAGTCCAACCAGAAATTTTCATCAGAATCTCAAACAGGTATTGAAATTACCTGCTCACAAACAGCAAATGAAGGCTAGCCTGATATGAGAATGTGGAGAAGACATCCAAACCACTGGACCATTGCCCTCTAAGATCCTTCTCCAGAGACTGCCTTGATTCATTCCATGTCACTAGAAACCATAGAGATAACAAACTTGGATGTTGACATTAAAAGTTGCTTTTCAGGTTGCCGTACCAAAAAAAACAAACAAACAAAAACCCTGGTATTAGAGCCTTGCCAACCCCAAACCTTCAAATATCATGATCCAGGCTCAAAAAGTCATGGGATTTCACAGAAATAATTAATTTTGAGTTATTTTTATTCACTTTCCAGTATTTGAACCTTTAAGGTACACACCAATCAGATTTTTAAGCTTCTCTTTGCAACCATAAGGGCTGAAACTTACTTTTTAAAAAAAAAAAAAAAAGCTGATATTCTCATGTACTGACATGATTCCCAGAGAGCTAGGACTTTAAGGGAAACACTAAATATCATGAGATTCGCAATGAAATTGCAAGACTATTCAGCAACACTGTTCAGTACGTCATGGGCCACAGTAATATAGCACAAGTGGGTATAAATTTCTAGTCCTACACTTTAACTACTCAATCTTATTCTTCCACAAACTAATTCTTATTCTTCCACACACACTATTGTGTTTAAAGAACATTACAGTTGTGATACAAATGGGAAGAATCCAAGAAATTACAAGTTAAGGTAGATGCTCCTTCTTTAACAGACACCCCTGTGAAGAAATAAAACAGTGAATGAAAACTTGATTTTAATCTGAACTACAGTCAAGGGCATAGGGAATAAATGAGGACCTTCCAGACCCCGACCTCCCACCTCAGACCCAGAGCGCCCTGGCCCAAATACCAGGCTCAGTGGGTTTCTATTGCATATATTTCTTTTTGCAGCAGCAAAAGCTAGGAGAAGTGTTCACAGCCTCCTCTCTTGACATGCATCCTGGTATGAAAGATGGACTTCATGTATTTAGTCATGCTATATCCTGCTCTTCTCTTAAGATGGCAACCATTCAATTCACCAACGTCACACCCTTTACCTATGAAGTTTCTCTTTCTTTCTCTCTCATAGCCTCTTGCTCCTCCTTACCTTCCTTCCTCCCTCTCTCTTTGCCCACTCCCCTCTGTTAGTCCCATAATCTCATATTCTCCTTCATTTCCACTCTAGGGAGACTTCCAACCACTAAAACCCAGTTTAAAATAAATAGTGAAATTATTTTAAAATTGACTAATACATAAAAATGGATGTGTGTGTATGCAGGACTATCAACAGGAGGGGACAAAGAAGGCATTTGCCCTGGGGCCAGTGATTTAAAAGGGCCTGGAGCTCCAGGCTCTTTAAATTGCTGCCAGAGCCCTGTGTAGCTGAGTGCTGACTAGGGGAGGCATGGTGCAGTCAGGATGGTGCTGAGGGCTAGCTGCTCCAGCCCTGCCCCTTCTGAACGAGGCCCCATTCCTTCTCGGTGCTGAGCCCCTTTGCCCCCATTGTCCAGGGACCAGGAAAGTCTGTTGCCAGGCGCGTGCGCGCGTGTGTGTACACATGTACAAACACCCACACACACCAACCACAGATATGACTGCCATCAGCACGAACACTTTGCTTGAGTACTGTATCCAAGCAATTCCCCCTGCCCTTCATTTCCTTCTGTGTGCTTTTAGATTATATTTGAGGCAAGGGCTGTATCTTCCTGAATATTCATACACTGTTTAACACATTTTGAACTCTATTGTAATATAAATGCTAAATAATATTTATACACAAAGCATACATAACCAGGGATCTTGAAGTATTTGCAATTGTGCCACTTAAATGGATTTATAATAATCTTCCACTTTCATCCAAGGATCCCAAATCACTTTACAACCGTGGGTAAGCATTACTAACCCCAATTTACAGATGAGGAAACTGAGTCACAGGGAGGCAATGTGACTTCCCTAAAGTCACATAATGTGTCAGTAGCAGAATGGGGAAGAGAACCAATATCTTCTGATGTCTAGTCTTCCACTCTAATGACTCAGTCTTACTCTTCTACAGCTGTCCTGAGAAGAAAGAGTTACTCACCTGGAGCAGTAACGGTGGTTCTTTGAGATATGCGTCCCTGTGGGTGTCCACTCTCGGTGCTCGTGCATCCTTGCACCGGTGACCAGAGATTTTTCTAGCAGTGTCTGCTGTGCCATGCACACACCATCGAGCCTACCGCTGGTGTCCATTAGGCACGTGTGGGGCATAGCTCCCTCCCTTCCTTCTCTACCCACGCTGGTAGAACATGGGGCTCCAAAGCAGGGGAAGGAGGGAGGGTAGTGGAGCACCCACGGGGACACACAATTCGAAGAATCACCATTACTGCACCAGCTGAGTAACTCTCTCTTCTTCTCCGAGAAGCGTCCCCATGGGTGCTCCACTCTAGGTGACTATAAAGCAGTAGTCGGCTCGTGGAGGTGGGTTTGGAGCCCTCTTGTTGTCACAGAAGATAATACTGCTGGTCTGACAGCCATGGATGATGCTATGGAGGATGCCAGAGCATAATGTTGTGCTAACATGTGGTGTGATGACCAAGTGGCTGCATTGCAAATGTCCTGAAGAGGTACATTTCTGAGGAAAGTGGTTGTAGAAGGACATGGCCATGGTGGAATGGGCAGTGATGGTGCCAAGTGATTCTTTGTTGTGGATGGTGTAGTATGCGTGGATGCATGAAGAGATCCACTTGGAAATCCTCTGAGAAGAGACGAACGAGGCCCCATTCCTTCTCGGTGCTGAGCCCCTTTGCCCCCATTGTCCAGGGACCAGGAAAGTCTGTTGCCAGGCGCGTGCGCGCGTGTGTGTACACATGTACAAACACCCACACACACCAACCACAGATATGACTGCCATCAGCACGAACACTTTGCTTGAGTACTGTATCCAAGCAATTCCCCCTGCCCTTCATTTCCTTCTGTGTGCTTTTAGATTATATTTGAGGCAAGGGCTGTATCTTCCTGAATATTCATACACTGTTTAACACATTTTGAACTCTATTGTAATATAAATGCTAAATAATATTTATACACAAAGCATACATAACCAGGGATCTTGAAGTATTTGCAATTGTGCCACTTAAATGGATTTATAATAATCTTCCACTTTCATCCAAGGATCCCAAATCACTTTACAACCGTGGGTAAGCATTACTAACCCCAATTTACAGATGAGGAAACTGAGTCACAGGGAGGCAATGTGACTTCCCTAAAGTCACATAATGTGTCAGTAGCAGAATGGGGAAGAGAACCAATATCTTCTGATGTCTAGTCTTCCACTCTAATGACTCAGTCTTACTCTTCTACAGCTGTCCTGAGAAGAAAGAGTTACTCACCTGGAGCAGTAACGGTGGTTCTTTGAGATATGCGTCCCTGTGGGTGTCCACTCTCGGTGCTCGTGCATCCTTGCACCGGTGACCAGAGATTTTTCTAGCAGTGTCTGCTGTGCCATGCACACACCATCGAGCCTACCGCTGGTGTCCATTAGGCACGTGTGGGGCATAGCTCCCTCCCTTCCTTCTCTACCCACGCTGGTAGAACATGGGGCTCCAAAGCAGGGGAAGGAGGGAGGGTAGTGGAGCACCCACGGGGACACACAATTCGAAGAATCACCATTACTGCACCAGCTGAGTAACTCTCTCTTCTTCTCCGAGAAGCGTCCCCATGGGTGCTCCACTCTAGGTGACTATAAAGCAGTAGTCGGCTCGTGGAGGTGGGTTTGGAGCCCTCTTGTTGTCACAGAAGATAATACTGCTGGTCTGACAGCCATGGATGATGCTATGGAGGATGCCAGAGCATAATGTTGTGCTAACATGTGGTGTGATGACCAAGTGGCTGCATTGCAAATGTCCTGAAGAGGTACATTTCTGAGGAAAGTGGTTGTAGAAGGACATGGCCATGGTGGAATGGGCAGTGATGGTGCCAAGTGATTCTTTGTTGTGGATGGTGTAGTATGCGTGGATGCATGAAGAGATCCACTTGGAAATCCTCTGAGAAGAGACAGCCTGCCCTTTAGATAGTTCTACAAAGGATAGGAAAAGTCTAGGAGTTATCCTCCAGGCTCTCGTACGATCAATATAGAACGCGAGCGCTCTGCGGACATCGAGGATGTGCCATTCTGCTTGTGATGGATTAGTGTGCGGCTTCAAGAAAAATGCAGATAAGTGTATCAGTTCATTTATGTGGAAGGGAGAGGAAACTTTTGGGAGAAATTTGGGGTGGGGTCGAAGTGTCACTCTGTCCTTGCTGAAAATTGTATGGGGGGGGTCCGCCATTATGGTGGCAAGTTCCCCCACTCTCCTACTGGAGGTTATTGTGAGTAGAAAGGAGACCTTCATAGATAGGTATGACCAAGAATAGGTCGCCAAGGGCTCGAAAGGTGGCTTTGCCAGGCTATTGAGTATGTGATTTAGGTCCCAGATAGAAACTGGTAGGCGAACAGATGGAAAGATGTTTTGTAGATCAGTGAGGAATTTTTTGGTGATTGGGTTTGAGAGGAAAGAATCACCTCCAATGGTGCAATTGAAGGCTGCTATAGCAGCTGCATGAATCTTGATAGTATTTAGTGCCAGGCCCAACTCCTTAAGTTGCAAGAGATAGTCCAGTAGGAGGGGAGGACGGGCAGTCTCAGGGAGTATAGTGTGAGTGCGTTTAAGCCACTGAGAGAATCTGTTCCATTTGTAGAGGTAAGCTTTCCTAGTGGACTCTCTTCTGCTGTTGATTAATATTTCTCTTACTCTTTCAGAGCAGGCATTTTCAGCATCCTGGAGCCATGAAGAAGCCAAGCGTGGAGGTGGAGTTTGTGCAGTTCAAGGTGGAGAATTGTGCCTGATTCTGGGAGAGAAGATTATGTTGAGGCAGAAAAGCATATGTCTCCGTCACTGTAATTCTGTGGAGGGAAGGATACCACGTTTGCCTCAACCACGCTAGTGTGATGAGAATCATGCGAGCTCTATCTGTTCTGATTTTGATGATGACCTTGTAGAGTACAGGAAAGGGTGGGAATGTATAGAGTAGCAGTGCATCCCATTTGATGGTGAAAGCATCCCCCAGGGAGTGCTTTCCTAAGGCTGCTGTGGAGCAGTAAAGGTGG